AACCGGACGGACCAGTTGCACGAACCAAAACATGCATGTATGGCTGTCTTATTAGGTAATGTTCAAATAATGTTATCATCCAGTGTTGGCAGTGTGGGAGAAAGTACTCAGGGCCTTCAAGTTACACACTATGAAAGGCAGCAACAAGTTTAATGTTCAGAAACCTAAAGTATGTATCAGCAGCTGAATGGAGCTAAAACTAAATGTTTGTTTCAGTTCTATGACGCTTTGAGTATTTTGGATCAGTAGCTGCTGTGTTTGTTGCATCATATTGCTGTAATTGTTTATATGCTTTATATATTCTGAGGTAAGTTGATCTATAGTGTTACATCATATTCTATAAGGATGTTATGTGTTTGTAGACTTTCTGCCCAGTTTGACCCATTTAGCAGAAGTCAGCCTGTTTAAGGCTCTGATATCTATTCTGTGTGACTGAAAGCAGTTATGACATGGTCTGATTTTCTCACCCAATAAAGGAATATTTCATATATCAGTCTACTCTTCATTCTATCAGACACAGTTATCACAGCTCGTACATTTGCTTTTTACACAGATATGTAAGCATTCAGACAGATTTAGTAATGATGCCAACATACTGAAGGAACAACATTTGTCTCTTATATATAATACATCTATACATACACTGTCACAGATACTTGAGTGTCTTTAAATGAAGATTTAAGGTGATAGGACATAAATAGCTGCAACTTGAATCTTTGACACAGAGTTCAGGCTCACTGCTGTAATATATCATAATAATCTGACAATAACTATAATATTGGCCATATTATATTTACATTACCACAGTGAGATGACTTTAGTCTCATGAACAACATTAACTAATAAATAACAAATAGCTAATCTTAAACGACTGTTCAGTACAGAAATGAAGCCCAACAATCATGTTTTACAGTCCTGTGGTCTCAGCCTCAGATACTCAACTAATCACAGTGATGTCATAAAAAATGAACGAACAACAAAACATTTTTGTTCTCCTTCATTTCTGTCACACAAAGCTGTATGAGACATTTCTCGCGGTTAGTATCATGGTTGCTAGGCAACCTGGGCAGTGCGACGGAGGCCAGACCGTCCCATTTCACTAGCCTCGCACTTCCGACCTCAGCGGTCTTTGAGTACGCGGCCCTTGAGGACCGTTAAGGCTGCAGACCCTGAATTGGGACACAGCCATACATACATGTTTTGGTTCGTGCAACTGGTCCGTCCGGTTATTGTCTCCCCAGAAACATTTCCGTTGTGTTGTGTGTGCTTCTGCAGCGTTTTTCTTTTTGCAGCGTTTTCTGAAGTTGCAGTCCGTTTGGCCTCTCAGGGCCACCGTAGAATTCTGAGTAAAACCAAAGTTATTTAGTAACTAGTTACTTTGAAAGTAACAAAGTAACTTACCCAACACTGTATAAAAGTCACTCGGATAACTTAAAAATGTTATTGTTTGGCTTTTTTCAGAGTTTTATTCGTTCCTGAGTAAATCGGTTTGGCTGAGATTAAGTTCTAGTTTCCACGCAGCTGAATAAACGTCAAACAGAAAACTGATTAAACAGAAGTGTGAGACGGTCGAGTTTACTCCAGCGTCCTGATATATTTTAGACAGCAAGGAGCAGACGGACGAGTTTATTAAACTCCACCGAGACAGCGGTGATGCTAATCAGAAGCCTACACCGTCCCATTTCACAGCCGTTTACTTCAGCCTACCCGACCTTCTGAGGACCCGGCCCATGTAGACCGCGAAGGCCGGGTCCTCAGGAGCTAAAGTCTGTGTGAGGGTGTCTTTGATATCCTCTGCAGGGCTCACGGTGCTCACAGCTCAGCTTCGTGATGCATCCTGTGGTTCTGTGTGGAGAATTCAGGCATTAACGAAACCGTCGATGATGTTCTAACACGTCACCGGACTCTGTTTGAGCGTCGTGTGCAACTGTTATTGACTCCGTGCTTCTTGTTTCCAGGATGCTGTCCTGACCTGTCGTGCAGATGAATAAACTCCAGGATCCTCGTTGGACCTGTTCATGGCTTCTAAGAAGAAGCAGAAAAACATGGTGTTCCATCAGGAAAGGGCGACCACCCCTGCAACAGCAACCGCTGCCAGCAGCCCCCCTTTGTCATGGTGCGTCACCCCGAAACCCGGGAAGGCGAGCGAAGGCGGGGTGGAGCAGGCCGTCAGGAGGGGCACTGAGCAGAAACATCCTGCCAGCATGAAGCCTCAGTCGGACACTCTGCCACCGGAGAACACCTGCGGGGGCATCACAGTGACCCTGGAGAACCACAGCATGTGGAACGTGTTCTTCAGATGTGGAACAGAGATGATTCTGACCGAACAAGGCAGCAGGATGTTCCCCTACTGCCGCTTCCGCATCTCCGGCCTGCAGCCATCCAGGAGGTACGCTCTGCTGATGGACGTCCAGCCGTTAGACAACAGTCACTACAGATGGACCGGCAAGAACTGGCAGGCTGCTGGCAAAGGAACGCGGCATGTAAAGAGTCAGCCTTTTGCTCATCTCGAGTCCCCGGCGACGGGCCAACACTGGATGCAGAGTCCGGTGTCCTTTTACAGGATGAAGCTCACGAACAACGTCTCAGACCGAGACGGGAACACTATCCTGCATCCGATGCACCGCTACCTGCCGCGGCTGCACGTGGTCCAGACAGACAAAGCTGCTAAAGACATAAAACTGAGCGATCCCGGTGTCATCACCTTCTCATTCCCCCAGACTGAATTCATGGCGGTCACGGCCTATCAGAACGCTCGGTTTGTTCAGCTGAAGGTCGACTACAACCCGTTCACTAAGGGACTGAAGGAGGACGTGTCTGGTTCATGGGGAGGAAAACTGAAAGCGAGCTCTGGGGATCCGCTGCATAAACAAGGAGGATTGGCTGAGCAGGTCCCTGTGAAGGAGAGCCTGAGGTCTTTGCTGGCAAACCACAAACCTCGAGCCTCCAAAGCAGCGGAGTCCAAGCCTTCAGTGCCCGCAGACCTCAAAGACAGCTCCACTACAAGCAGAGAGCCGCCTGCTGCCGTGGCCCCCGGGCAGGTTTTGGGGTAAGACTTTGATTCTTTCTCTGTACTGAGTATCAGGTGTGTAAGAAAGACGTGTTTCCAGCAGACTTCCTGTGTTAAGGCTCGTGTTAACCGTCGGTGTGTCGTAACCGTGCTTCCACTGACGAGAAATATCTGTGTCACAGCAGCTGGGGTGGGTCTGCTGGTACCATCTGAAGAGTGGATTACCTCTGAGAAACCCACCAGCTGCTGCTGTCCACCTCAGCCACCTGTGTGAGCCACACATCAAGCTTTAGTTTCACGCTCAAACTGCGACTCGATGGTGACATGAATCAATGTTTGATGGGTCTCCACCTTTGATTCCTGCTGAAAAACTGTTTGCAGAGATTTTAAATGTGGAGAGATGCTGTAGTTCCACATGTGTAGAACTAAAAGGGCCAGAGACACGAGAAAGTTCTTCAGTGGGAGCAGTTTAGGGGTAACGTTTGAGTTTTGAGGGTCTTTGGTTCCCCACTGAACGAAGTCTTGTTCTGATTGTCCATCAGAGTATTCAGGAGAGCGTTACACGCCGTTCCTGATCTTTAGTGTCTTAGCTTGAACACTTATTTTCTTCCATAACAACAGCACAAACCAGTCTGTGATGGTCCCAGTTACTTGCTGTAAATGTTCAGCTCTGGTTCGTGAAGCCCAGCAGGTGTTCGCACCCAGTACTTCAGCGTGTTTCCATCTCACGCTGCTGAATTATGGGATGGTTTTTGGTTTGTTTTGCTCCTGGCAGTCTGTGGGTATCATGGAAGCAGTCGCACATGACTGAATATCTGTTAATTATTTATATAGCACCAAATCACAGCAGTCGCCTCAAGGCGCTTCATAGATACAGAGAAAAACCCAACAATCATATGACCCCCTATGAGCAGCACTTTGGCGACAGTGGGAAGGAAAAACTCCCTTTTAACAGGAAGAAACCTCCAGCAGAACCAGGCTCAGGGAGGGGCGGGGCCTCTGCTGTGATTGGTTGGGGTGAGAGAAGGAAGACAGGATAAAGACATGCTGTGGAAGAGAGACAGAGATTAATAACAGATATGATGCAGAGAGGTCTGTTAACACATAGTGAGTGAGAAAGGTGACAAAGGAAAAACTCAATGATTGTTAGGACATCTAGAACCGAGTCTCCCTGGATAAATGAACATTTATCTGGAAACTTGAGCTGCTGTGTGACCTGCAGACCTGGTTGTAGATCTAGGTCTGCAGCCAGGTGCTAACCACACCTTTGTCCGTGTTCCAGCCGTTACTCAGAGACTACCTGGCAGGTTCTGTCCTCTTGATGTCGAGTTCTCCTCTTCACCATCAGCCAATCAGCAAACACAGCGCTTAACAGCAAATCAGACGTGTCACAGCCTCCATGATGGTTGTTTGGTGCATTCAAAACTGAAGTTGGAGGAGATGTTTGTGACATCGTTACACTGCAGGAGAATCATAAAGGCTGAGGTGGCGGTCAGTTTGGGTGCTTCTATTCCCTGGAGAACCGTTCTGCATGAGTAACAGTGAATAACACCATGAAAATAAGATTAAGGGATTTTTAAATGCTTAAAAAAAGAAGAGTGCTCCGAAGCCTTTACAAAAGTTTGACAAATACAGCATCACAGAAAACCGGAGATCCCAAACCCCTTTGCACAGGAGGAGACGGCTAATTTTAGCTCCATGTATGAAGCTTGATTGTAAACAGTCTCAACGAGTTTAATGCTGCAGGTTTTGATTGACCTCATAAATAACACCGATGTCACTAATCCAATGTTTCCGTTTGCTTTGCCTCAGCAGCGTCTCACGTCCAGCTCAGAAGTTGTTCTCGGAGCTGATTCGTGAAGCTCACGTTTCGCTGCAGAGATGCAACCTGGAGCAGCTCGGCATCAGTCACAGCGGCTCTCTCAGAGCAGAGCAAACCAACACTAAGAACTCGAGTTCGAAAGCTAAAGGACGAGAAGCCCTTAAAGACAGTACATCTGTTAAAGCACCTCCAGGGAAATGTGAAATAAGGACCATTAAGGACGACAGGCTGAATTCACTGGACTGTAACGATGGCGTTGGGACGGGTGGTCCTGGTTGTGGTCGTGCTGCTCCAGAAGGATCCCAGAGCTCCTCTGAGGACTTGGAGCACCGACCTAACCCAGACGCTACAACAGAGACGGCCACGAAGACGCACAAGCGGCCGGCCCGGCTGCCTCTGCCAGCGCTCGCTCTCTTTCTGAGGCAGCACTCTAAGAAGACGAAGAACAAACCGGACTCTCTGGCCCCTCCTCCTGAGCGCCTGTCCGTATTGGCCAGTTCTGCTGCTTCTTTTGCACGTCCGCTCTGGGAAGGTACCGCCGGTGCAGCACATCCCTCCAAGGATGTCGGCAGCCTGAAGCCCGACCTCACGACCTCCGGATGTACAGATCCTCTAGCTGACGTGGTTTTTAATGTCTCTGGACAAACGGCGTCTCCTCAGCAGCCCGGTCCAGCTGCTGCACATCTGCTGGCTCCAAGAACTGACGACCGCTCGGCTCGCGTGTCCGAAAGCCCGGGCCCAGAGCCGAGAGGCCCAGAGCCGAGAGGCCCCGACAGCACCCAAGTGTTACCCGGCTTGAACCAGCCATTCTGCACCCTCGGGGCGTCTCTTACTACCTCTTCACCGCCTCCTGCTGCCCCCCCGCCCCTCCACACAGTGTTATGTTCTCCAAACTCACCACAAACACCACCTGAATCATCGACACCACCTTTAGACTCCCCCACCCTGAGGTCTTCACTCCCTGACCCAGAGTGTTCGTCCTTCGGCTATGAGCCGATGTCTCCTGCGAGCTCTCCAGAACCGTTACCTCACCTGCCGGCCTCGATCGCTTTAGAGCTCGACTCCGCGGCCTCTGAAGCGCGCGACGCAGCAGGACCTCCCGAAGACTCGCAGGACACCGAAGACCCGTCTGTGTTTAAATGGCATACAGTGTTACCTCCACCCGAGTCCTTCGTAGACACCTCATTCACAACATTTCAGCCTCCACAGACATTACCTGAGGACCCCGAACCACAGAGTCCAAACGCCTCCATGCCTGCTCCTGATCCTCCGCCATCTTTCCCAGAGAGCGAGCAGTCGCTGCCCTTCCCCGCAGAGCTTTCCCCGCTCGCCCTGCAACTGCCTCTGTCGCCAACCTTCTCGTCAATCGACGCCGACGGACTCTCTCCCACGCCTTCACTCGCTGACCTCGTGCAGTTTTTGTCCACTGACGTCGACCTCGGGATGGGGGTGGAGTTTTCGAGCACCGAGGCGGCGGCTGTTCCCTGCTTACCTGTGACGGAAACGCACGAACCTTCTCAGCAGGTCCAGCCGCTCCCAGCCAGAAAACCCTGCAAGCGAAAGAAGAAGGAGGTTCGGCAGCGAAGGCTCGGCAAGAGCGAGGTGGAGCAGGAGGTGGACGACTCCACCTACGGGAGCATGCAGCCGAACCTGGAGGAGGTGGAGGAGCAGTTGTTCATCTCTTTCACTTCAAAGGTAACGTTGGATAGATGACTGATCATAAACACAGCGTGCACACTGAGGTTAACACACAGCCTGTTTCAGGAGGCTCTGAAGCTCCACCTGGCCGACTCCTCCGACAGGCCGGCTCCACGGCCCGCACCTGACGGTCAAAGAGCTGCAGACTCACCTGAGGGCGGTGACCGGCTGGACATGAGCGATGAACGAAGCTTAAACCCGTCCAACCCCAAAGCAGAGAGTCTGGCAGAGACGATCGCTTCCTTCCAGAAGATTCTGCTGAGAGACCTGAAGCTCATGAAGCACAGGCAGGTCATCCACCCTGTGCTGCAGGAAGGTACGATCACCTGGTTCCTGTTTGCAGGTAGAAGCTCTCAGTTCTGTGTCTGACTGCTTTTGTTCTTCTCTGTAAAGTCGGTCTGAAGATGAACCTGCTCGACCCGTCGCTCGCCATTGACCTGCAGTACCTGGGAGTCCGCCTGCCCTTCCCCCTGCCGGGCGCCAGCATGGAGCCGCTGTCGACGTCTCAAGGTGAGCATGAGCACGAACAAGTGTCCTGACTCACCTGGACTCACCTGTGCCTGAACACCTGCGAGTCCGTTCACAGGTAACAGCTCTGTGTTCTTCTGTTTCAGGTGTTTCTGCTGCGTTTGTGTCCCGAACAGGAAAAACCACCGACGTCACTCAGATTAAAGGTTGGAGAGCGAAGTTCACGTTGTCTGAGACTCCGCCCACACCTGCAGCCTGCAGACCTGAAGGTGCTTTTCTACGCCGTGCGCTCACAGCTGGTTAGTTTTGTTTTTCAGCTCGGCGCCAGCCGCGCTGGGCTGTGTGCTGGTGTAACTGGTTTGTGTTGAATCCTGCAGCTGGTTCCAGTTCAGAGCCGCAGAAGAAGAACCTGTCGGCGTTCTGCAGCGACATGCTGGACGAGTATCTGGAGAGCGAGGGGAAGCTGATCGACGAGCGCGCCGCCAGCTTCTCCCAGCCGCCGGTGGAGCCGCTGGTGTACGAGCTGCCCACCAGGAGCACCAGCTACGTCCGGACCCTGGACCACGTCCTGAAGAAGCAGACCGCCGACCCCGCCTCCTCTGACCTCATCTCTGGGTTCGTTCCCCCCTCCAAGAGGCCGCACTTCAAAGAGCCTAAACCAGGCCGGAGGAGGCAGAAAGGTTGTAAACAGAGCAAACTCAGACCAGAACCTGCAGCTGGTCCTGAACCCAGTCAGCTGGAACCTCAGCAGCCTGCGGGCCACGCCCCCTCAGCGCCGCCATCACGCCCAGATTCAAACCCCATCAAGAGGCGGAGGAGGCTCAAACCCAGGACCTCATCTCAGACCCTCAGCCCCTCTAGGGCCACAGTGCCGGTTATGTCCAGGGACCTGGCCCCGCTGGAGTCGGACTCTGAGCTGGGGGGCGGGCAGAGCGAGGACGGCAGCAGGAGTCGGCGCCAGCCGATGACCCGGGCTCTGCAGAAACAGAAGGTCCTGGAAGACGGCGCCGTGTGGGAAGGCCTGCGTCGGACCAGCATCACTACGGAGAGGGCCACCATCGCCCTCACGTCCCTCTTCACTCAGACGGTGAGCATTCATTGGCTGCAGCATCTGCTAGAGGGCGGGGTGAAAGTGCAGCTCAGTGTAAAACAGCTGTTTGTGATGAAGGATCATTTTAACGTTGTCTTTGGAAAATACTGCAGGAACTGTTTAAATGATGTGAAGGGCAAACGAACAGGTGTTTATTACACACCAGTAATAACCACACTGTTAATAATCAGACTGTTAAAGACACTATTACAAGTTACAACCAATGTTCCCGCTAAGCTGCTGGCTCTGCGCACAGAAATAAATCTCACCTGAATTGAAATTAAAATTTCAACAACTCTGTTCTTCAGTGTCAGTGACTGGCTGCTCCTGTATGGGATCAGAACGACGCCCCCTTATCCCACAGTCCAGCCAATGATGCGATTCACATTCATTTATACCAGTTTTTAAATTGTGTTGATCGGCCACGTAAAACCAGAGTTATGATAAAATATCTGCAATGTTTGTTTTTCTTCCTGAATACTGTCGTTGTTTATATTTACTGCAGGAAGAAACAGTAAAAACTGCGTTTTATAAGGAAAACGCTGGAAAACACTCTCCGCCTGTGAGCAAGAACAACACCAAAACTCCTCCTACCCTCCCGTTTCCTATTGGTGCAAAAATGTACCATGTCGACCAATCAAAAAATGATATGGCAACATGGCATTTAGTTGTTTAGGAAAGGGGGAAGTTTTAGGAGTGACGGCATGTTTGAGATGTGAGAGATTTGCGATGTGTAGCGTGTTTGGGGTCTAAAGTTAGCGTGTAGTTAGCGTGTAGTTAGCGTGTAGTTAGCGTGTAGTTAGCGTGTTGTCTTGTGTTGTCTTGTGTAGTTAGCGTGTAGTTAGCGTGTTGTCTTGTGTAGTTAGCGTGTAGTTAG